TGAAAACTAAGGAGAAACAGGTCTCCTTAAATACAGTTTCCATCTCAGTAACATCCACAGCAGCTGTCTTTGAGGCGATATGGAGAAACACAAGGGAAAATAACATTTCCCACCTGGGGGATAATGATCATATGAAAGGTGTTATGATACAGAGCAAGTATGTGAAATCAATTTGAGGGGCTGCTGGGAGCAGGCATCCAATACTTCACTGTCTACAGGAGAAGATAATTCCAGATGTGAAGCTCCAAGTACTCGTTGTATTTTAGAAATGATATAGTTTAACTTGACATTTGGGGAAAAAAGGATAGAAGAACCGCTATTGAAAATGTGGGAGCTTTATAAGTGGAAAATTATGTCCGCTGGGTCCCTTGAAGACTCTGAGAATATGAGAAGATTACGATGCACTAAAAACCTTGCCTGGAAGCACTTTAATTAAATAAATAAAGATTCTAGCAGTTCTTTCAACTTGGCCTTTCCTTTGTGGGAACACCCATCTTTCCTTAGTCCTAAAATCATCTTCCTCACTCCCTTCTGTTTTTGGCAGTGCTGTGATTTTTCACACCTGATTCAGGATTTGGCTTTATTTATTTTCTCGTTTGCCTCTCCCTCCACCTGTCCTCTCCCTGTTGTCTGGGGGAGGGCTCAAATGTATTGAGGGGGGCAACCTTTCTCCTTAATCTGAAATGTAAGCAGTGTCTCCTATGGGATTACCCATTGCTGAGAAGAAAGCATCCTTACATATTATTGTTGCTTTTAATTTTATTATATTGTTCTTATTCTATGTTCATTGTTAGCCGCCCAGAGTAGACATGTGTCTAGATGGGTGGGGTATAAATTTAAACAAACAAACAAACAAACAAACAAATAAATATGTAAATAAATATCAGAGGATACACTCTTTTCATATTTATGATACGTACCAGATGCTCAATGGCTGAACCTTTGCTTAACCAGAGCTATTTGCTGTTCCCTAATCGGTACTTATTCATTCAAAGATAAAGAGGACCACCACCAGCACCCACCCCCTGCGGCTCTGTCATATGTTCACATTTCTTTGTGAAAGAAGGATATATAAAGGTGCAAAGTTTTCACACTTCCTGTATGCGTTCAGCAAAGTGTTTAGTATCTTCCTCTGAAAGTTCTTGAATGAAATATCTAAAAATTGTCCTCAGTGTGGGCTGGATGAGCCAAAAAGGTGCCCTTTCGTCCTCACCTTCCAATGCCTTGTCAGCTCCCTGCCTCTGTTTTCTGCAGATTTCTGTGTTTCTTCTCAAGAGGGGGAGTGTCTTTGATAAACATTTTTCCTCGGGTGTCTGTAGTAACACAAGCAGTCAGCCAGTGACTCATTATTAGAGGAGACAGTAAGATGGTTTTATGTATCCCTTATAGCAACTGCTTATATTCTGTCCAGAATGCTGTATTTTATCCGTGTTATTTGTGGGTTGGAAGCTGGGCACAGAGCAAGCACTGTTTTGTATCGGACTCCAAACTTCAATACAAGTTAAAATGGTAAAGGTAAAGGTTCCCTTTGACATTTAGTCAGTCAGAAATCCCAGCTTTGTGCTCTGAGTGAATTGATCTGGCGCGCCGGAAACCCAGTTTTTTACATTCAGTTGATAGGCTGGGGGTGGGGCAGTGGGAATGAATCAATTTACTATCTTGATTTGTGAGCATGTACTTTGCAAAGAGCACAATTAATTAATTATTCCTTCAGTTACGTCCTGCTTTTCTTCCAGTGAGTTCAAGGTGATGTCTACGATTTCCCTTCTTCCCACTTCAAAGAAGATAAGTTAGGCTGATTGGCCCCAGTTGCCCTGTAAGCTTCATCATCACCTAGCAGCCATCCTCCTTAGTGCCCAACACTCTAAATGCTGTATCACAGTTATTGGCAAAATCATCACAAGAAAGAAAGAAAGATTGGTTTCTACCCTTTGCCTACCTGTTCATCTCGATCACTGGTTCTTAACCTTGGGTTACTCAGGAGTTTTGGACTGCAACTCCCAGAAGCCTTCACCACCAGCTGTCCTGACTGGGGTTTCTGGGAGTTGCAGTTCGAAAGCATCCGAGAAACAAAGGTTAAGAACCACTGATCTAGATCACTCAAGAGGGCAAAACAATCAATCATGCAACCTCCAGCTACATCCAGCAGGGAGATATAATGAAACTTGGTGTGTGAGAAACCATTTTATTGTACAGGGTTATATCTCCATACATATTCCCTCAACAATAGCCCGTACAGGTAGGCCTGCCCTAGGAAAGAGTTTGGCAGTTGGTGTTCTTCAACATTTGTTGGCTATTATTCATCATCATCATATGCCCTCAAGTCAGTTTTGACTTATGGCAACCCTTTCACGGTTTGCTAGGTAAAGAAGTCTCAGAAGTGGTTTCCCATTATTATCATCATTATCATTATCATTATCATCATCATTATTATTATCATCATCATCATCATCATTCATATATATTATATATATTGATGATGATGATGACGACGACGACGACGACAAAGATTAATGTTGCTGGTGTGGGTTCTTTATTCTTAATAAAATACCTTGCAGGTCTGAAAGCTGAAGACATCATTGAGCTCGCCCGCCGTGAAATGCTGTGGACCAGCACCCGCTTCTTGTCCCCTGTTCTTCCCTTCGGTGCATTGTTTAATAAAAATGAGATCAAGTCCCTCCCGCACCCTGCCCATGAGCTGCTGACTGTCAGCGTTAGGCTTGAAAAATGCCCTAAGGCTGTCAGCGATAAAAGAGGCCAGCTTTATTTCATCGGCCAAACCAGAATAATCTTTTGGCAGGGATGGAGGCGTGGCATGTTATCCTCCGGGTAAGCTCTTTTCTGCAAGCTGGCACAGACAGGAGGTTGGAGTGATAATAGAAAAAAAAGGAGATGCTGGAAGGAATTGAGAATCTGCTGCCATCTAATGGTCAAACTAAAAAAACACGAGCCTGCCTGAAGCAGGAGGTGGATGAAAACTTTATTGAGTGTGGGGCAGTCTTTGTGAGGAAGGATCTGTAAGGAAAATGGCCGCAGATTCCACCTGCTTCCCCCCCCAACTTTTTTTTTGCCACTGTAGGAGTAACACTTGTCTCTCTTGCTCAGCCGTAATGTATAAAATGTTGACCCTCGTTAACACAAACTCACAAATCTTGCCTGCTGCTCCCCGCCCCCAAACCGCATGGAATTCTGTGCATTCACCTATAGCTGCAAGATGAGTTTTTAAGTAAAAGGCAGAATTCATGAAGTTAATAGAAGGTAATAACTCACTACTTCCACAGCATCCAAAATATCTGATGTTTTTACATTCAAGATGAACATTTTGCTGCTCCAGATGTTGCTGGGTATCTCCTTCCATGATTCCAAACCACAGAGAGTTCTAGCCAACAACATTTGGAGGGTTCACGTCTCCTGCACCCTTCATACAAAGCTTAATGTGGAAACACACACCAAAAAAATATCCAATTCCAAGGAACAGCAGCAGGTGTTGTGATGCAACTGCACCACATTGCGGGAGGTATCATATTGAGTCCCATTAAGGGAAAAAAACTGCTGGGATGCTAGTGGTGTGTGACTTGCCACCAATAGTTGTTGCTAATTGATGCACCTCTGTTGTGCAATTGGGTAAATGCCCAGGCATGTGACCAAGATGTTCATTGGCACCTCGTCAATTATCCTGCAGCAAATCTTATGGGAACACTAATAGGGTTTTGGCCGATAGTATTGATCACAAACCTTGGTGGTAGGAAATGAAGCAAAAGATTTCTAGTTTGGGAGTCTAGAACACCATGCTGTCATGTATGTTTGAAAAAAAATCCAAGTTGACAGGGCTTGTGGGTCGTAAGGCAGGGAACCATTCTGAGACGTTTCTTGTAAATCTGCAGTCCCTTGACCCTTCTGAACCAAGTGGCAAAGAGATGAGTGGAACATATGTAATTGCTTTTGGCCTTCTCGTCAGTGACCATTCCTGGTACTTCCAGTTAGGTACATTTACGACGGTTGTACTTTGATGCTCGGCTTTTATTTGCAATAGACTATGAAGAGAGAGTGAAGTCAAATCAGCTGCATTACAGCGGAGGAAGGCTTGGTTACATCACATTTTTTTTCATGTTTACTGTTTCAATGAAATTATTTACAGTGTTTCAGGAAAACAATCACCATCAGATGCAAGGAACAAGATAAAGCTACATTATATTTTCTCAGAATATAAATGGATAACCATTTATGGCTGCAGGCAAACATAACATTATTTGATCAATATGGCTCTTCTAGAAGCCCAACTATGTTCTGTCAAAGGTTTGGAAATATGACTTTCTGGAACGACAGGTCCCCAAACTTCTTCTAGTCAGGATAGCCGCTGGCCATGCTGGCTGGATAATTGTGTAATGTATGGTCCAAAAAGTTTTCTTGTCCACCCTATGATCTTGTTCAAAGGAACAATTTTCTAATAAGGTGCATGGGGGTGGGGGAGATGTTTTGCTGCAGAGGTCAATGACACACATTGTGGATTGGCTAGCATCAGTGATGTCCTCAGCCCATCTCTTTCCCATATCTCAGAAACTACTGTATTTTTCCATGTATAAGACTATACTTTTGTCTAAAATCTTTAGACTAAAAATTGAGGGCCGTCTTATACACGGAAGTAAGCTGAGGAGAGAGCAAAAACAAGTGGAGGGGAAAGCAGAGATCAAAGCGATTCTGCAGCGCTTTTATCCCGTTCCCCCTACACTTGCTAAGCCCCACTTAGATTACTTAATTTTGGATTAGAAAAGTAGGGGCGTCTTTTTATTGGGGGTGTCTTATACATGAAAAAATACAGTATTTTGTCAGCTTTTAAAATGCGTTCACTATTTTTAGTTTTTCTTTAAAGGGAAGGTAACGAATGCTTAAACAAATGTTTAAATAATGTTTTGACAAATGTTTTAATGAATGTTTAAATAAATAAAGTTGAATGCTGCACTTTAAAGGATTTTTTTAAAAAACAACAACAACGCCTGAAACATGGGGAAGAAGTGATAAAATTGCCAAATCATGTTAGAACTTTTTCACTTGTGCATCTGGCAGTTCCACTGCATAGGCAGGAGGAATCCAGGTTCATTCTGCAATGAGAAGAAACTGCCATTATTCCTGTTAACGTTATGTTTGGCCACAGCCCCCCCAAATCCCAAGAACCTTTCCACCAGGTTTATTGCAGGCTTTTAAGAGTTCCTGAAGAAATGTTTTTTGAATTAGGAGAGAGCATGTGCAAGATCAAAATCCCCAAAGGAAAGGCCACCTGCCAGATCAGCATCTTCAGAGGTCTTCTCAGTCACAAGTGGAACAGTTTCATGGGGCCCAACGGTGCTTTCTTCACCAGGGAGAGGCAGAAGATCCTTAAGGTCAAAGTCACCAGGTTCATCAATAGGTACTGCAGGAGTTATGATAGGTTTCCAGGGTTTTCCTGGACACTTCGGTTCTGGCAGATCTGGCACTGTATCAAAGAGAGACAATAAACTCTGACTGCTGTCTGGTGAGGATGGGAGATCCAAAAGGAGATCTTTGTTCGGGCTTATTGTTGCAATGTCATCTTCTTGCTCCTTTACATCTTCCTGAAGCTCTCCCAAAGCAAGATTTAATTCATCTCCAGTTCTGTGTTCGCTTTCTGTCGAAGGTCTCTTTAAATTCATGTTGGCTTTTCGGAAAGGAGTAAAACCTGGAGGTCTCCTTAAAAGTATCTGAAAAGCAAAATCATAATAAATCGACTTACTTGCTTGGAAATTTTCCAACACTCCTGCAAGTCATCGCTGCATAATATCATGCAGGAATTCCACATAAAATAGCTATTAGAATAAGATGCACACTGAAAATTAATTCTCCAATCAGCTTAGTCCATAAATTCCAACCCTGGCTGCCAATGAAAAGCCTTCTGAAGCTTCGCTCAGACCTCCATAGGGTACATCTGCATTACACACTTGAACTGCTCTAACAGTGATTTTCCTCTCTTCATGCAACTGGATATTCTTCTTCAAGGGAAGTTTTGTGAGAGAAACCAAGCATCTCTAATAATGAATTCTTGGCATACTCACACAAGGCTTATCCAGACGAGGCATGTTTACCATTCCTGTTTATTCCCTTTTGTTCACAGGAGAGTTGGAAGTTGCAGAATAAGCATCTATATATATTTCCTTTTAACTGTGGGTGTAGAACAAGGGGGAGTGGAGGAATCAAATATCTGGGTACTTCCAAAATCCGAGTTCATGTGGTCTTTTTCACTTCTTACGATTCCTCTGCTCTAACCAATATTTTACTTTTTAAAAAATGTGATTTAATTATATGAGCGAGTTCGATTACTAGCTCCTCAGATGTTGCCAAATATGTGCAGGTACCTAGTGTGGTACAATGGACAGAGTGATAGCTGAGGACTCTGGAGAATGGAGTTCAAATACCCACTCAGCCATGGAAACTGACTGGGAGATTGGAATTGATAAAACCATTCCTTAAATATCTCACTTACATTGAAAGCCCATTTCGGGTCACTATAAGTTGGCTCCGGCTTGGCGGCACAGAGCAATAATTACGTACAATGTCTAGAGGTGAAGAGAGAAGGAGCAAATTTTCATACTGTTCTATTAGGTGGTTCACATGTCACTTTGGCAGCAACTTCATGCTTCCAGGCCTTCATATAAACAGAGGCTGTGCAGGTCAACGGTACCTGTTCCCAAAACAAAATTGAGCATAAATCTATACTTAGTAACAATTAAATACAATATGGCATATAATTGTTGGGGTGCTTGTTCTGAACTGTGCAACCTCCCTATAGGCAAATAGGAGATGATTTTGTATTCGCGAAGGCTTTCACGGCCAGGAACTAATGGTTGTTGTGGTTTTTCGGGCTCTTGGGCCATGTTCTGAACACGGCCAAAGAGCCCGAAAAGCCCACAACAACCAGGAGATGATTTTCTCTTGCCTCCTCCCTTCCTTAGAAAGCTATATTTAAAAACAGCTTCCTTGATAGATTCCGTACATAAATTCTACGCAGCGCAATTCAAATTCTATTTCACCAAAATTCTTAACCTTTAAAAAGGTAACACCTTGTCAGCACCCTAACCTTAATGTCACTGTTAATGCTAATTACTGAATGTTAAATAAATCAGGAACAAACTAGTGTGTGAAACAATTAATGACAAATATTGAGGCATCAATATTCCATAAATATTGAATGCACGAAAGCATGTTACAACCAGTGAAAACAGTGAAACAAAGACTATAAACGCTGGGTCATTTTTTCAAAAATAGAACATTTCCAATTTCTCCTTTGAAGGTAAAATCATCCCAGTGTAGAGACTCTTCCCTTAGAAACATATCAAGAGGTGTATTAAGATGCAAAGTATCAGGACAACAAGCAGGGAAATCGATATACAGTGGTGCCTTGACTTACGAACATCCCGACTTACGAACATTTCGAATTACAACCAGATCCGCCTGCAAAATTTTGCTTCGAATTGCGGCCAGAGCTTCCAGTTACGATCAGAAAAAGGCAGGGGAAAAAGGCGGTGAATTCAAATTGCTAACCGTTGGTAGGTGAAGAGGCTGCTTCTTTATAGCTCTTTCGCCCCAGCAGTTAGAGTGAGTGCGATCGGAGGAGGCTTTGGACTGCCTGATAAGGTGAGGTGTTACTTTCTGCTTTTTAAAAACTGTTCTGGGTGGGTTTTGCAGTTTGGTTTTGGGCTGGGTGGTGGAATTATGTTTCTATGCTGTGATGGGTCTCACAGGGTTTGTTTATTTTTGGGTTTCTCTCCCCCCCATTTCCAATGGGTCTTGGGAGGTTTCTTTGCTTTTTGGGTTTTTCCCCCATTTCCGATGGGTCTTGGAGGGTTTGTTTGCTTTTTGGTTCCCCCCCCCCATTTCTGATGGGTCTTGCAGGCTTCGCTTGGTTTTTGCTTTGCTTTTTTTGCATTTCCAATGGGTCTTGCACAATTCGCTTGCTTTTCTCCCCCGTCCCTTGGCTGGAACGGATTAATCGTGCTTCCGATGGGTCTTGCAGTGTTGGGGGGGGGTGGTGCTTTTTTTTTCCTTTGGCCAAAACGCATTTCAACGCATTCCTATGGGAAATGGTGCTTCAACCATTTCGAGTTACGACCGCAGTTCCAGAACCAATTAAGTTCCTAAGTCGAGGCACCACTGTACATACACTGAGGCATCAGTATGAAAGTCTGAATTCCAGAATGCATTGGGTAGCATTATCAATGGTTACACAAACACCATAAATAAGTAATGAAAAGTGGCATTCCTTTCAATTCTTTTTCTCACATAATAGTCTTTGAAGTATCTTACTCATATTGTCAGTAATTAAAGACTCTCCACTACCATCCTGCAACCTTCAAAGGCTTCCCAGACTATTTATTTATTTAAAATATTTTTTACCCTGCCTTTCTTCTTGAAAAGGGCCCAAGGTGGCTTATAACAATGAAAGACAATATTTACATTTGAAAACAATGAGTATGTAACGGTGGTTAGCATAATTAAAAAGTGATATTTAAAAATTATGAATAATGGAGGCATCTTACATCAGTTAACAGGCAATATTAAGGCAAAGATCAATAAATATACAAAATTAAAAAAAATCACTCTGAAAGGAAAACAATGAAAGGGATTCTCTAGCAATAGGATCTGCTCCATAGGATCACTTATCACACTTTATGTATCCTGCCAGATTTTTTACTCTACTGTATTTGTTTTTGGACCAGATGTGCTTTCTCAACATTTAAGGAAGAAATGAATTAATTCAACAAGTTACAGCAGGGAACACAAATTAAAGCAGAAGATAGCAACTGTCTTAATGACTTAGAAATATCCCTGGAAAATTAGAGCTCAGAGTTAAACCAAGAGACTAAGGCTACAATCTGATACAACAAGCCTTTTGGGACTATGGCTCTCCAGATGTCGTTGGACTACAAATCCCATTAGCTCAAGCCGCCATAGCTAACGTCAAGGGATTATGGGAGTAACAGTTGCATCTGTAGGCCCATACTTTGCCCTCCTCTGCTATGCACGTTTATTGTTACACCATAAAAGGTAAAGGTTCCCCCTGACAATTTTTGTCCAGTCGTGTTCGACTCTAGGGGGCGGTGCTCATCCCCGTTTCCAAGCCATAGAGCCAGCGCTTGTCTGAAGACAATCTTCCGTGGTGACATGGCCAGTGCGACTTAGACACGGAATGCTGTTACCTTCCCACCGAAGTGGTCCCTATTTATCTACTTGCATTTGCATGCTTTCGAACCGCTAGGTTGGCGAGGAACTGGGACAAGTGACGGGAGCGCACTCCGTCACGTGGATTTGATCTTATGACTGCTTGGACTTCTGACCCTGCAGCACAGGCTTCTGCGGTTTAGCCCGCAGCGCCACCACGTACAGCATATCCTATTGAATTCTTGCAGGACTTCCTGAGAAGAGATGTGTAGGACTGTGCTGGGAAAAAAAAGTTCAATTCCAAGACCACATGGATAAGAAATGAATTTTTTATCATGGAAGACAACCCCTATCTCTATCATCCTCAAGAATGCAAATTCAAATTCATTTCAGCCCTTCAAAAGAAGGTCTTTGTCTTGGAAGAAACGATTTCAAAGAACTTACACTTTCTTCTATAGCACTACAGCCATCACTCAGCTTGGGAAAGTCAGCCTTGGAACAATCAGTCTTCTTAATATTGAACTCTATTCTGTACATTACTCCAGCCACGACCTGAAATTTGATCAGAAAGGTGATTAGTGTTGGCTTTTCGTTTTTATCATAATGGATCCAGAGTAACATCCTCAGTGTAAAATTAAAATCTATTGTTCTCTTTCATATTAATAGCAACTCTGTGAGAGGTGAGTGCAGACACATGTATGTGTATCCAAACTTTTATAGAAGTGTGTAAATTGCAGCTCGTGCTTGGCCCATCCTGTCAGAAAGCATTGTTTAAACGCAAAGTATTGTTATTTCTGAAACAAAATACAAAAGATATTTAAGGAGTTCCACTCCCTCAGTAAGTTTCCATGGCCAAGTGGGGATTTGAACCCTGTTCTCCAGAGTCCTCTATCCACTATGCCACACTGGGAATCCCACTGTAAAACCTAGCAAGATATTATTTCAAATGTGCATCACTTAGTTTGGAAAGAAACCCTTTGAGTCCTGTAAGCCTGGGGACAAAATAGACATTAAAGGGAATATATATTCCCTGAGATTAACCCATTTCCCCTTCCACAATGGGGTTTCCCCAAAGATACAGTTTTCAGCAGTCTTGCACATGAAATCCATCTTTGCCTTCAAATGACCAACTACATAACAAAGCATGCTAAATGCAAGATACGCTGATGAGGAAAACATCACCTATGAGATACACCAATGGATTTGGATAAAAAACTCAAATTCAATTTGAAAAGTTTGCCCTATTTTTAACTTTAGTTTCTTAACTAGATTAAAATGTAGCAAGGACAACAGAGTTCAAACCTGGGAGGTAGCTTTTGTGACGCTGACAACTTTATAATAGAAGTCATTGCTGCTTTCTGAATTATATTTTTCCAGAGCTGCATCCAGTGGTTCCTTCAATATTTCACTGTCCGTTGCAATTGATGTGGGGCAACCAGCACAAATGCTATGCTCAACTACTATAAGAAAAAAAAATTAAATTAAAAAATGGATTTTTATCAAAATCTATTTGTATCATTGACACTCAACATGAGCCTCTGCATTCACTAAGTAGTTCTTCCTCCCGTCCCTCAGATGAATTCCACTTAAGTGTCTGCATTAAAATCGATGCTAGCAAAAAGCAGAGATGGTTATCAAAATACTATTAAAAGGCAGGTGTGTGAGTTCCTCTGAATCCATTGCCTCTCTCCATCTCTATAAACACAGGGGTTATGGGTACTGAGGAAGCTATCCATTACCTTTTAGTGGAAGCATGTGGCCGTTGTGTGCTGGCTTACAGCAGAAGCACCAAGTAACACAGTAACACCCCCCTCCTGTATCAGCAAAGCTGGATAGTAAGTCTATGACTACACAGTGAAAAAAGTGCAAATTGATCTGCTGTAAGTTCACACTAAAGAAGTTTCGGTTTACCAGACCACACAGAAGTCAGCACAGAGAGAGGGTGAAACTGGCAACCAGCCCTTTTTGCATCTTCTTGTTGTTGTTATGCCGCATTTCTCCCAACAAGGGACCCAAAGCGGCTCATTAAGGCAGCTTCTGCTATAGGTATCCAGATTTGCAGGAGGCAAGGCTACAGCAGAACTACCTTGACAAGCAGCAAAGAAGGAATGATTACCAACTTCTCTTTCTCTCTCCTCTGACTCTTGTCTGTTCAGCTAAAGCAAATGGACTTCCATCAGCTGGAAGTCTATTTGTTTCTTCTAAACAAGGGCTAATCACCAATTTCTTCCTCTGTCTTAGTCTCCTAGGTGCTCTAGCGCAGTGGTCCCCAACCTTGAGCCTTCAGATGTTCTTGGACTTCAATTCCCAGAAATCCTGGCCAGCAGAGGTGATGGTGAAGGCTTCTGGGAGATGGAGTCAAAGAACATCTGGAGGCCCAAGGTTGGAGACCACTGCTCTAGCGTACCAGTGCTGGCACTCTCCTTAACAACATAAGTTTGTTTTGCTGTGGGAAAGCAACTTTTTCTGGGTTCTACTTTCCTTCCCCTCTTTCTTGAACGAGGAAGCTGAAAAAGCCAACTCCTGGGCACTCAATCAGCCATGACTGTTGCATTGGCTCAAGCGATCACACTGCCTGAACCAATGCTAATGCATTTAATTGCCAAAAAGAAAAAAAAGAGAGAGAGGGAGGGAGGGAGGGAGGGAGGAAGGAAGGAAGGAAGGAAGGAAGGAAAAGTAGAAGCTCCAGGAATGGAAGAAAAAAGTTTGAACTACAAGGAGGATACCAGGCTGATTTTCATTGAGTTGTACATTGTATAGTCAACAGAAAATAATACAAATCCGACCATCCCAGTTCTGGAGCGTTTCCTGTAGTATTTGTCAATGCAGTCTCCTCTAACTTTAGGTAATACCCTGGACAAGAGTAATTAATTCTCTTCAAACTGACAGTATTAATATTTACAGGAAAATAGAGTCCTTAACATAGTCCCGAATATCCATATTTAATCATAGGGAATCAAACACAGAGGCTTCTAGACAGTCAGATATTTTGGGGTTCTAACTCCCATCAGCCCCAAGAAAAGGGGCTTATGACTGGGGCTGATAGGAATTGCTGTCCACCAGTATCTGGAAGGCCACATGTTCTCCAGCCTTGGTCTAAGACTTTCTGAGATACAAGAAATAGGAAAGAGATCCATCACATCAGATATGACTCCAGAACTGAACGCATGAAGAGTGAAATTGCCAGTGCATTTCCAGTGCTTAGGAGTCGTAGAAGATGTCATCACGAACCTGCAAGCTTGCAGTTCTGGTCGGCACGCACAAGTGTGTTTCTAATATCCACATAGGCCTCAACTGTACAAGTACCTTCACCCTGAAGGGAGACAAGAAGCGGGATGGGAACCAGGGACAAAGAAGCAGCAGCCACTGAATCTTGAACCCGAAAAGTGAATACAGCTTTTGATGTTTTACATGTTGACATGGTAGAACTTGGAAATGTTGCTTTCCCTTTTTGGACTACAGTTCCCAGAATCCCTCATCCAGCATTGCCATGTGGTGTTGCAACTCTCAGTCCCCACCAGTTGAGGCCTTTCTTCAAGAAGACCAGTGCTTAGTATTTCCTGCTCTCCCTCGGATAAGGAATCCATTATGAACATGGGCAGAGGTAAATTTGGAGCTGCAGGTTCTCATAGACATTGTCCCCATAACCAGCATCACCCCAAGAGAGTCCGAAAACACTGACCCATGGACTGATCCATGTCCACAGAGGAGTTCTAGGCATCCTTCCTCCCATCAGCAGCAGGTCTTTGGTAAAGCTAATGGCTCTTATGCACCCATTCAAAGCCAAGCCAAACTCAAATGCTTCGTGTGGCAACAGGGATGGTTTACCTCAACATAACCTTCCTGGGAAAACCTATTTACCTTTGCCCTCAAACGCACCTACTGGGTCTCTACCAAGACAAATATCTCAAAAATCAGCATTATAGTTACGAGAATACAACGGCATGGGATATATATGCATAAGGTAATCTGTTGGGGCCACGTGATGATGATGGATGCGGCTAGTCCAGGGCCAGAGGCAAAAACAGATCAGCTCATCCCACCCTTCCTTCCCCCTCTATCCCTATGCACACAGAACATGGAAATAACTAGTTACAAGAAATACAGATCTCTGTAATTACCATAACTACTATTTACAATATAAATGAGGTAACTATTATTCACTAGTTATCTTTCAGGTGTAACAAGTAACACCAAGGTTACTTGTGCCTACTGAGTAACACTCAGTTGATTTCAAAGTTGCTTTTAAAGGCCTTTTAACAGCATTTTAAGAGATTTTTTTTCCTGTTTTTATGCCAGTCCAATTAGTCCTAATCGGCAAGAAAAGTGTTCTTTGTTTCTGCCCTTTGGTCTTTTTATAATGATTTCCAACGTACAATCTCAGAAGTGGCCACCCTGCATTTTTCCTCATTTTTCTGACATCCATGCCCTGAGATTTCAACGCCACGGAAAGGAATTCACGGTGAATTCTTGTAACATCTCATGGGTGGGACGGGCAAGAGTTGGAACAGATGCAACCATAACAGATATACAAACACTTTCGTGTTGAGTCAGTCAGCCCTGGGGCCTCTTGAAAATGGGTTGAGACGGGTGCCCACGCCATAGCTTTAATGCCACCTTACAAACAAAAAAATGCTTATTTCTTTCTCTTACAATGGTATTCCACCAGGCATTCAAATTTGCCAGCGCTACGTGCCCGAGACATCAGACATGAAAAGAAAATGGTGTCATTTCTCAACGGAACAGATAAAAAGGAAAAACAAGCCGATTTGCCAAATACAGGTTGAAGCCAGTTTGTGTGAGAATCAACGGTCTTTTTCCTCTTAGGGATATAATGAATTGGGATACAGAATCCGTGTTTTGTGTTCTGAGGAATTCCTGCTACTGACCCAGATTCCTCCTCACACCCACCTCCTCCCTTTAATCGGGCTCTGATCCATAACAGCCGGAATGAAATGCACAAGGCAAAAACAAGTAAATCCTCTGTGCCCTTAACGCAGAGATTTTTCTCACAGTGCAGCAGCTGGTAAATCCGAGGTAAACCTGTCTGGAATATGCCTGTGCTGGTGGGTTGTGAAATTTCCACTCGGAGATGTCCCTCCTCTGAACTGCATTGCAGATGCATGCTGTGGATTATTGAACAACTTCCTTTTTATGGAAATCTCTGCCTGAAGTAAAACTGCTGGGTGTTTTAATCCTTTTATTTCTTTTGGCAACTGTGCCCATCCAGCTCCTTTCAGCCAAGAGGAAAAACAGGACTTCTTAGACTGCTGTTTCCTGAAACGGACTTGGCTGCACTCCAAAAGGTCCCTGGAGAAGATGCTGCCCTTTCATCCTTAGACAGGGGCAGAATTCCCGTCCCTCACCTGGTGTTGTTCTAACCTTGGCCGAATTCCTCTCCCTCTCTCAGCTTCTGTATTCCCGTTCTATGAAATGGGAATAAGAGGGGCTTACTTTGCAAGTGATTTTTTGCAATATTTGGTTGTGATCTACCCCTTCTTTAACGCAAAAGGATGATAGTGTTTGTGAAAAATCCAAATGCGCTGTCCCAGGACGCCCCCTAGAGGAAGGTAATGGTAAACTACTTCTGTGTATTCTCTACCTGGAAAACCCTGAAAAGGATCATCATATGTCAAAATTGACTTGATGGCAGATGATGATGATGATGATGATGAGAGATTATCACCATACGGTTTATTTATTGCCTTCATATTCCATTTCATATTATTCTGACATGCCTTCTAAAACTATCTCTTGTCTTCCATCCTAACGACTGCCTTGTAAGGTAGGCTGGGCTGGGAAGAAGAGAGAAAATGACTGCTATGAGGTCACCCAAGCAAGTATTGCAACTGAGTAAGGTCAGTTTCCCCCTTGGGTCTAGAGATGTTTTAGACTTCAGCTCTCCGAACCAGGAAACAAGGCCGTGGAAAATCTTTTTGATCACCTGGACAGGTGGCAAACATGCTCAGTATGGATGAGATTTTTGTATTTTTTGAAGTACAAGACCCAGATGGCTCTTGGAATTCTAGGGGCTTTAGTTCCCTGTCCCTTCCAAAGCCCTTTCAGGTGTTTGATATAACTTACAGGTAGTGCATAAATGGGTTTTGTTTTTTTTGAAAAATTCCTCCATTTCTGAGTTCCTGGGCAGAAGATTTGTCTAGATAGGGCTAAGTTGTCAGGCATTGCAATCATTAGGGTCACCGTAGTTTCCTGAGAGGCACCCTGCACAGAGCATGCATGACGGACTGGAGAACTAAAATACCCTTAACGCTGGGCAGTTCCATGACATTTAGCCCTGCCTAGCCAGGTTTTCTGCTTTGGATCTCAGAAATGGAACATTTTTTCCCTTATTTATGTATCAGTCTCTCTCTCTCTCTCTCTCTCTCTCTCTCTTTCTCTTTCTTTCTCTCTCTCTCTCTCTCTCTCTCTCTCTCTCTCTGTGTGTGTGTGTGTGTGTGAGTGAGTGTGTGTGTGTGAGAGAGAGTGAGTGAGTAAGTGAGTGAAAGTGTGTGTACATGCTAAGGCCCCTCGAATCCCAGCTGGGGCATTTCCAGCAGACTTTTTGCTGTTGGAGTTCAGAAAGTTCAAAGGAAGGCTTTACAATGATGCAGGACAGCGCTTTTTGTACTTATTTTTGACTGTTAGGTTTTAAATGGTTTTCAGGCTGCATTCTATTTTTAATATGAAAAATGATTAAATTTGAAAAAATAAGATGTATTTTTTTTCTTCACTGTACTTAAAAAAAAAAAACTACACTGTAAGTTATCTTGTATCCCCATCCCTGGAAAGAAGGCAGGTTATAAATAGTAAGTAAATAAGATAAACAAGAATCTCATGATTCATAAGATGCTGTTCCTCCATTCCCTTTCTTGCTCCAGACAACACAAGGATCCTGAACGGGTGCTATTTTCTGTTCCCTTCCATCATTCCTGGCCTTTTGGTGAACCAAAATGGTGCAAGCTTAACACTCCTGCAATCACCTGTGAGTTTTGAGGTAGTGATCCCTGGGCACCAACTATAAAGGGGTGGAGATGGGTGTATAGGCTTAATAGACACCATGCACAGAGGACGCAGACTTTTCCTACCTGTGGCACTGTTCGACCTGACATTTGTTTCATAACTAGATGATGTTGATGATTATGATAGTGTGCCATCCTCTCAATTCTGACTCAGGGCAACCCTTTCCAGAGGACGAGATGGTTGGGCGGTGTCATTGAAGTGACCAACATGAATTTGACCCAACTCCGGGAGGCAGTGGAAGACAGGAGGGCGTGGCATTCTCTGGTCCATGGGGTCACAAAGAGTCGGACACGACTTAACGACCAAACAACAACAACAAGTTCTACCCATTGTATTTTTACTCTCCTCCTCAATCACATTGTGAGCCACCTTAGATTCGAGGATGGGGACTAAGGATGGGTATAAATAAAAAAACAAACAAAAATGACAAGAGTCCACAAATGGACAATGTCTCTAGTGATTTCCTCCTAAGGATCTGGGACACGCTGGGTTAGGATTGGAACCAACAAATATTTGACTGCTCTCATGTGGGAAACATAAGCAACAGACAGGATGACTTACCCCTGCAGGAATCAGTTTGCATTCCGGAGTCAAATCTGAAAATTTATCCTTGGAACAATTTGTCTCTTTTACAGAATACTCAAATTTGTAGTTCCACCCGGCGACGACCTGGAATAAATATTTAGACGCTTCAAATGAGTCCTCTTAGGGCGTTAAGGAACAAATTTAATGAAATACTATTGCTGCTGCCATTAACAGCAAAGCTGTTCATTATTTTGAATTCTGATGGCTTTATTAATGTTGTGGCTTTCAATGTGGAAAAAGCAAGCAAGGACAGAAGGGGTTTAGCCCACTTCTCTATGGACGTTTCAGGTCATCTGCCTTCTGAGTACCTATTTATCTACTTGCATTTTCACATGCTTTCGAACTGCTAGGTTGGCAGGAGCTGGGACAAGCGACGGGAGCTCACTCCGTTGTGTGGATTCGATCTTACGACGGTTGGTCTTCTGACCTTGCAGCACAGAGGCTTCTGCAGTTTAACCCACAGTGCCACCACGTCCCTTTCATACCTAAAGGAGCTCTTTGAAAAAACAAATTAGAGTTCATTATTACAACATATACAAACCTGACGTTGGGCTTTTGTTATTTCTCTAACATCAAAAAGGGATTGCTTCTCACTTTGGTTGTTAAATTGTCCTACGGTGTATTTGACAATAGGCACCAGTTCTGTGCTTTGGGTGTCCATGTTGTGCCAGCAGCCAAGACATCCGGAAAAGGACTGGGTCACCTTCCCAGGGGCTAAAAAACAAGACAATGAAAAGCAGCATGCGATGGAGCTTCAGCTTCTTTGTCCAATATACAAACAAGAAATGCTCAAAAAAATCAGGAAGAGGAATGTATATTCTCTGCAATTTAATCTGTCTTCCTTCACACTGCAGGGTTTTCCAAAGTGAGATATGGCTCTGCAATCAGGCTCGAAATTTATATCAGCCTTTTCCTTCCAGTGACCAATTACAAAACAAGACATGCTAAATGCAAGATAGGGAGGAAAAGAAAAATGGTTGCTAGGACAAACAGATGCCTTTGACCTCTTGGAGGAGCATCTCTTCCGAATATATTCTAAGCTGATAATCTCATTTAACCCTTACAGGTAGGAAACAGGTAATTAAAAAAATTAAAGAGCGAACTGATTTAGCAGGACATGGAGGGACAGTAGCTGGGCAGCTCATCAGAGTGAGATACTGGTAGGAAAAACATTAACTCCTCTTCCTTCCTGTAGTCCCGGTGCAGAACCAACATCCCCTCCCCCCAAGATGCTTTTAATAGTCATTTAAAGAGAAAATAGAACCGACTATAATTCTGTAATGCAGGGATGGGCAACTGTAGCCTGCAACTCCCATCATCCTTCAGTAAAGACTATGCAGACTAGGTCATTAGTCCTAGCGTCAATGGGTGGGTGTGTTGAATTTGCTCTGGACTTTAGTCTTAACTTTAAGGGAACTATCTAAAGTCCTGAGCCCATTTCGGGTATGGCGTTCAGGCTGTGGATAACTCCTGACAAGTATGAACTAAAACTTGGGATGGATTTGCTGCTCCACTGACCCTGGAGCCACCAGACTTAACTGGTCAATGGGATTTGTGGGAGCATCATGTGGCTGAGGTTACCATCCACCATAGTTTTGTTTGCTCCAGTCCTGCTGGATGTAAGTGTTCAAAAACAACACAGGATGAAGTTCCTGGAGTGATGAAGCAGAAGGCACAGTGGCCATCTCACCAACCTCTAGTTGCTGCACTACATATTGGGCATTGCAGTCCACCTTGTCCCCCACTCTTGCTGTAAGGGAATGCACTAGGGCAGGACTTGAACTTGGCAAGCCTATTTGCGATTTCCATGGCTAATTTTCAACTTCAAGTTTTTAAAGCAAGTTAGAAAGTATGACACTGAAGCCTTGGCCATTTCATGCCAGTGACAACTAGATGTCACCATTGCTTTATAAAAACTTCTGAAATCAAGTTAGCAGGGAGATAACATAACATAACACTGGACATTTCAGAAAGAGGCTTAATTAAGATACAAATTCTCAGCAACCTAGGAGGGTGTTGCACAGAAACACTGCAAGGTACTGTAATTAGGATTTATTCATTTCATAGAACCATAGAAAAGTGAAGTTGGAAGGGGCCTACAAAGCCATCAAGTCCAACCCCCTGCTCAAGATAGGAATACAATCAAAGCGTATCTGCCAGGTGATGATCTAAGTTTTTCTTGAATGCCTCCAGTGTTGGTGCACTCACCAACACCCGAGGTAACTGGTTCCGCTGTCATACTGCTCTAACAGTGAATAAATTTTTCCTGATATTCAACCAAAATCTGGCTTCCATTAACTTGAGCCTATTGTTGCGTATCCTGCACTCTGGGATGATCAAGAACAGATCTTGCTCCTCCTCTGTATGACAGCCTTTCAAATATTTGAAAAGTGCTATCGTATCACCCCTCAGTCTTCTTTTCTCAAGGCTAAACATGCCCAATTCTTTCAGCCTTTCCTCATAAGGCTTGGTTTCCAGCCCCCTGATTATCCTTGTTGCCCTCCTCTGAAATTCCAATGATAGTTCTGAGTCCAGTCCATAATAAGTTTACTAAACAGCATTGGAAACACTTTATTTGCTCTCAATATGAAATGCTCCTGGTCCATGTAGTTCTTGCTTTGCTGTTTTAATGGAAGTTCATTTTCAGTATCTTTTCGCTACAGTGGTGTCTCGCTAGATGATGGCCTCACAAAACAACGAATCTGCTAGACGATGAGCTTTTGCGAGCGCTATAGCGCTTTGCAAAACAGCTTTCCCTCTGGGCAATTTTCGCTGGACAATGTTTCAGTCCGCGCTTCGCAAGATAGTTTTTTCCCCAGGGCTGATGCCTCGCTAGACAACGATTTTGACAGCTCAATCTGTGCTTTGCAAACCGGTTTTTAAAGGGACCATTGTTCGCTAGACACTGATTTTAACAGCTGATCGGCAGTTCACAAAACGGTTTCCCTATGGCCGATCTTTGCAAAACGATGACGATTTTTCCCCATTGCAATGCATTAAATGGATTTCAATGCATTCCAATGGGGAACCGTGCTTCGCTAGATGATGTTTTCACAAGACAGTGATTTTAACAGAACAAATTAACATCGTCTAACGAGGCACCACTGTATTTTTATTTTAGCACCATTATACGTGTTCTTTTGTGTTTTAATTGGGTGTGCTTTTTTATTTTTAAGGATGGGTTTTAAAGATCTCAAATAAATCAACCAACGAGGCAAATCTATTCTTATAGTACCAGGAGAAATGCCAAATGGAGCCAAAGAAGACAGGGTCAGGGGAAATGTCCATTAAGGCTACAATCTTGTAAACACCAGGGCTGGAAATGATGGTACATGTTTTGTTTACCAACCGCCTGTATATGGTTATTTTTCAGCCACTGGGTGCACTTATAAAGTTAGTATTTTGCTTTATTTACCAGGAAGTAAAAGTTCTATGTTGCTCTGGCCTTTTTAAAAATATTTACTTACTTACTTACAGGGGTGCCTTGACTTACGAACATCTTCACTTCCAACCAATTCAAGTTACGACCAGCTCCGGCCACAAAATTTTGCTTTGACTTGTGACCGGAGCTTTGAGATACGACTGGGAAAAAGGCGGGGAATTTAAACTGCTAACCATTGGTTGGTGAAGAGGCTGCTTCCTGTAGCTCTTTCACCCCAACGGTAAGAGTGTGTGTTTGGAGGACGTTTTGGACTGCCTGGTACTGCTTTCTGCTTTTTAAAATGCCTGTTCTGAGTTAGTACATGGTTTTGCAGCGTGGGTTTGGGCTGGGGGGGGGTTTATGTTTCTGTGCTGTGATAGGTCTTGCAGTGTTTCCCCCCCCCGGTGTGTTCCCCCCCCAGCCGGAATGGATTAATCGTGTTTCCAATGAGTCTTGCTGTGTTTTCCCCCCCAGTGCCTACGGTAAGATATAGGTACACATGCAGAATTAGAAATGGTCTTTATAATTTAAACAGAACTGTAGCACATCTTAGTCTAGTTGGGAAAGCAACGGTGTGCCTACTGAGTCTTCTGACCACTCTGCTAATTTAGGCAGCACATTCTTTTACTCCTGGATGCATTTTCCACCAAACTTTACTTGTTTTCTGGTCAGGGGTTGGGATCATTGGGAGGGGCTGGGGGGGCACAAAACAGACTAGGGCCCCCTCGTGTCCCCTCCCAGAGACAGCACTCTGCTCACCTCTGGACCTTCCCAACATTTAAGTCAGCCTGCCGTGGGGGCAGGATGAGCTTTCTGAATATCTTGAACTGCTCAGTGACTTAGGCATCTGGCTGGGTTGGAAGTTCAATTCTCCACTGGGCCTCCTTGAGAGTCAATACTGTACTGTTGTTGGTGGTTGTGGGGTTGTTACGATGTTGTCTAATGGTAAGCTACCCATAAATTGAAAGATTGAGAGAGCCCTTCAAGTCCCTGGCCTCTGTTTCCATGAGAGGGCCACAAATAAATAAATGAGAAAATTAAGGATGGGTATTTCTGTGCAAATTTTTGCAAAGGCACAATTCCTTGTACCAGACTTCCTGATGATTCCTGGGAGTTCTAGTTCTTTGGGAGTTGCCCTCTGTAAATCTTAATGAGCAGACTACCACTTACAGGATGCACTGGAGCTGTTTTACAAAACCACAGGAAACCAGAAGACCTGAGAAGCCTAATGGTGGTGATAAATCACTTAAAAGGCCTTCTTGGGCACAGAGTCTTGGTGGCAACAGGTGCATTGATATCGATTTGGGAGTTACAATTCCTGGAATTCTTGGAGAAATCTGGGAATTCAATTTTTTAAAAAAAGCCTACCCTTAAAAGACTATTTTCCCATTCAGAACATTTACTGATTTTTTATGTAAAATGTACATACCTGGAGTAATTTTGCATCTCTGTTCAATATTGGAAAAATTTATAGTATCATCAAAGTGAATCTCAGCTTCACATTCACCTGTGTCCTACAAAGAAAGGCAATAAAAGGTAATTTATTTATTCATTTCTGACACATACATACCACCCCACTATTCTGGGTTGCATACAGAGAACCAATGGCCTGTTTCCAATTGAGTTTTTACTCTGGAGTAAATTAAATCATTCAAGTTACAAAACCAGATTACAGCTAATGAATAAGGTATGGGCTGCATGCCTTGTGGGCATAGTACAGTATTTGGGGATTTTTGTGACTATAGGTCACACAATTTTCCGTTCTGTATGTTTCACCTGACAGACCCACACCTACCTTTCACTCACCTGGATCAAAGGTCTAGCTGAGCAGGCTTTGCAGCCTGCCTCCATCCTAGCTCCCTGTGTAGAAGGGAAGTTCCCATCTAGCAATAGGGCAGCTCCAGGTGAGCTACATCACCATATTCTACAAGCACAAATTCTAAAAGCTTGGTAGGTATCTTATAGGCTGTCATTATGCTGCACTAGGAGTTTATTTATCTTTTTATGTGAAGATTCATTAATAATTTATAATGTGAACTGTGTAGATAAGAAAAAAGAGCTGTTACTGTCCCCATTTTGTTTCTAAATTAATGTATATGTCTGTCTCTATTTTATGCTTAGCTCCTGAAGAAGGCCACAGCCGAAACGTGTCCATCCTAAACATTTTAGAGAATAAAATCTGAATTGCCAATGTTTATTACATCCTGAGACTCAGTCTCCCCTTCATGCATTTGCCATCAGTGGACCTACTAGTTCCCTCTGCTGTGTTTGATTCCACTTGCTGCCCTACCCCAGTAAGCAAAATACCTTGGGTCAAGTCTGGAAGACTTTAGTATCCAAACAGGTAGCGTCGCTAAGAGCAGCACCATCCTATGCCATCAGTAGTGATGGAGGTATTCGTATTTGTATATGAATATCAATACCCCCACATAGGTGGACATCAACAAAGGTCCAGACCCCTGGGGCCGGACTGTCCACTTATGTGTCTGCTGCCGCTGCAGGCTCCATGCCTTCCTATAGCTCCAGAGCCCGCTGTCAACTAGCCACTCCTGGCAGGAGGCAGGACGATGAGCCTCCCTGCCATCTCGAAGAGTGGCTAGTCGACCGCGAACTCTGTTGTGATTGGAAGAGAGCATGGAGCCCATGGTGGCAGCAGATGCGTGAGTGGGCGGTCCGACCCCAGGGGTCTGGATCCTCGTTATGTCCACCTGTGCACGGGTATTCATATACGAATACCCCCATCTCTAGCCATGAGTCACCAAGGCCGAAACCTGAGATCAGAGGCAGAACTGGAGAGAACTAAAGGGTATTGATCTACTGATTGATTGATTGATTGAAACCCCACCTTTCTCCTTAAAAAGGACCCAAGGCAGCTTCCAGCTCTTGTGATTATGGGAAAAGGGCACAAGGCGAAATCTGGACAAACAGGCTAAGAATCTAGGTAAAACTTCAGCTGACCAGATAAGATGGCAAACTAGAATCAGGCCCAAAAGCATATATTGTTTCTTTGGTTTTGACAG